TCGATGGAGGGCAGCTGGTAGTGCGCACTGTGAGAACACATGAACCAGGTCCTCCATAGTGCCACAAAACGGGCACGCTCCTCGTTGAGGAATCCTCGTGAAGGGCCTGAACTTTAGAGGCAGGCACCCTCTGGCCAGGCGATACATGAATGTAGCGCGCTTGGCGCCCAGGAAACTGGTAGTAATTAACCGCCAGTTAGGACTGTGTTGGGACAGGTCATGTTCTCTACAGCGTTCAGGTAACTCTAGAGCGAGTCTATCGACTAACTCGTGGAGTTCGATCGAAACTAAATCTATCTCGGGGTCGACCTTTTGGAGACGGGCCAAAGTAGAAGCGGCCCCTGCATAGGAGGCAGAAGGCGTTCCCGCCCGAGGCACGGAATTCGAAAATGCCCTAGGCGAGAACAACCTCAGCCTGGTGCTCAGTAAATACGACGCGAAGCTTCTAGTAAGGAGCATATCTGAATCAAGAGCTACCCGTGTCCATTTAACATGTAATGCCGTGGTCACAACGCTAAGGTCGGGAATATCTAGTCCTCCTTCGTCCCTACGCAACTTCAACACGGGGCGCGACACAAAATGGGAGGCGCGACCCCAAAAGAAATCGAAAACTTTCTTTTCCAAGATAACTTTGGTGTGGGCTTTAACTTGCATAACCGAACCTATGTACGTAAGGAAACTAAACAACAGTGATCGAATTATCGTGGCCCTAGCTGTAAGCGGACAAGACAAGGCACCGAGTTCCTTAATCCTGTCGGTCAGCTTTTGCCTTGCTAACCGCCAGTTTTCGGTAGTCAGGCCATCTGGCTCGAAATGGAAACCTAATATACGTAGGCGCTTCTGTATGGGGAGGCCATGTACATGACGTGGACTGGAGGGAACGCAGTTCAGATACATGACTGCGCTCTTCGACTTATTTATTCTGGCACCGCTCGCCGAGCAGTACCCCTCCATACCGTCCAAGACGGTGCAAACAGTTTCCTCGTCCGGGACGACAATAGAGAGGTCATCTGCATAGGCAAACATTGCCACCGGGGGGAACCTGGCGGAAGGGGAAATCTACCTATGCTGGTGTCTTTAGAAAGCCTCTGCAAAGTGGTTCGAAGCGTGACATCACATGGAAAACATAATAGGGAATAGAAGTACGTTATACGGCCGCTGCACGACGACGTGGGCTCCCGTCGAGGCGGGCGAGCGCCCATCCACAGGCCTTGACCTCTAATTTGTGTGTTTAGTAAGGGTGTCCAGCAGGTCCTCGAAAGGCAAGTACACTGCGTGCGGAGACCTGCACGACGTGGGCCTCCGTCGAGGAGGGCGAGCGTCCATACACAGGTCTTGACCTCTTATTTGTGTGTTTAGTAAGGGTGTGCAGCGATTGGGAGCACCAGGTACTAAACTATACAAGAGCCGTCCCGAGGAAGGCTTGGTGTGTTTAGAAAATGTTGTTCACGATTTAGAGTACGAGGTACTCTACTATGGGAGAGCATAGAGACGTCCCTTGGGCAACCTGCAGGTACGGCAGCTCTATATGTGTTTAGATAAAGTGGGTAACAATTTAGAGTACTAGATACTCTACTATGGGACGGTTATAACCGTCCCGTACAAAAGCGACTACCAGCAGATTGACTAGATGGCAGCCGATTGACTAGATTGACTTGGTGTCCACAAGCGGAAACAGACGTCGATCTCTTCTTCATGAGCCTCCGTGGTTTCTCCAAGACATGTTTAAGAATTCACATATCCAGCAAAATGGACTAATTAGTGATCTGTCCCTTTGAAGCAGTCTAAAAAATGAAATTAAGTTTCCATTCTAACCTTTATTTTAGCGGCGACAAGTAAAAATATTGTGCAGAGCGGTACTCTTTTTTTTTTTTACCTCTGTAACACAAGACGAGCGTTTGTTTTCTCACAGAATCTATTCGGGTAATTTAGATCTGGGGAAGTTTTCGCCTCGCTTGCTCCGTAATGATTACTATTTAGAAACACGTGTTAAGCTGTTTATCCCAGGAAAGTGTGTTGTCCGTGAAGTATGATGGCGAGGTGTGAATAATTGTGTAGTCCTGTCACGCTGTCGCTCTCCGTCTGTTCCGGCTTTTACGACCACCAATTGCTAGTTGCTTCCTTGCTTTATTTGAAGGGCCTCGCAATCGCGTAGGCGAACTCTTTGCATGTGGGTATGCACTTGAAATAAGTAACGGATCCGAACGATGCAAGCTTCCGTTCTGGACTCCGGGATGTGTGTTTACAGGTGAACACGTAGCGGAATTAGTGGTGGCACAGTTGCACAGTGGGCTGTTGGGGGTCGAATGCCGCGTACATTATGCATTCCCACCACTGACAAACATACGTCCTCAACATGAACGAAAGCAGCCTTGCTACTAAAAACAATATTTCTTCTCCGTGAAGATGTATTTTTTGTCACTGTATTCTTGTAACCAGCAGTTGCAATTATTTTTGGTTACCAGCTGGCATCTAAGGACCTGCTGAGTTTTTGTTTCTTTTTTTTTAATAGAAGCATCGGCACTTCTGTTAACACGCCCTACATTTTTTGCATTAAAATCACAGGCACGGGCAAGATAGCTGCAGTAACACGTGTACTTCTAATAACGATCAGGGTCGACCTGGACCGGATTTCTTGATCACGATATACAATGATTGCTGTTACTTGGTTCAAACTAATCCGGATCGACTGTGGCGCAGCAGTAAGTTAAATCGCTATCCGGGAGCTAGATTACAGTGCGCAGATTGCGATTAATAGTGACCATGAATGAACACACAATGCAGTTCAAGCCTGACAACGATAAAATTTGCCCGTGTGACACGACGACAAGCGAAATGATTTTGTTCATGTCAATTTGCTGAACACTGATACATGATGACAAGAAAACGCATCTGGTGCCATCTTTGGAAGCTCTAGAAGTGGTAGACGGAAGTAAAAACGATCACGGACGTCAAGTGACGGAACGGCAGGGCTACACATCTCGTCGGCAGATCATGTACGCACCGCACCGTCCGCCAGCAACATCAACAAACCTCGCGCGCTAACCCCGTAAACATAGACAGCAACAAGCTCGCCTAAAGATAAAATGCCATCGCATTTGCCATCGCAAATGCCATCGCACTGTGTAATTACAATAGGTATGATGTTGTGAAAGGAATATGGAAAGGGGTCATGGTTCCTGGTCTGACGTTCGGCAATGCGGTCTTGTGCGTGAGATCACAAGTTCAAGCAAGATTAGAAATAAAGCAACGGGGAATAGGTAAGCTTGCTTTACGAGCACACGGGAGTACACCAAATCAGGGAGTACAAGGTGATATGGGATGGACATCATTCGAGGGCAGAGAAGCTAGCAGGAAGATAAAATTTGAGAAGCGATTGAGAGAAATGGGGGAGGAGCGTTGGGCTAGGAGGGTTTCCAGCTACTTGCACATGAAGAATGTCGATACAAAATGGAGGAAGCGAACCAGAAAATTGACGGGTAAATACTTACAAAACAGCAGAGGGCCAAACCAAAAAGAACTATCAGTTAAGAAGAAAGTCAAAGAAACGGAGACTGGCATATGGGAATTGACATGAATTAAAAGTCTGCACTATAGATCTATCGAACTTTTAAGCGGGAAATCGCCAAGGAAAAGATCTATGATAATACTCGGGGTAGTTCTCTACTGTTTGAGGCCAGGATGGGAGTATTGCGAACCAAGACATATCGGGCCAAATACGAAGGGGTACACACGGTATGCAGTGCGGGTGGAGAGGAGGAGGAAACTGCCGAACACCTAATAATGTTCTGTAAAGGGCTTCACCCTATAGTTCAGGATGATGGCGCGTAGTTTTTCAAAGCACTGGAGTTCAGAGACAGGGAGGGCAAAATATAGTTTAAGCGGGTAGAATTAACTAGAAGGAGGTTATCTGATTGGTGGCTAAAGTCAAGGCACGAGTGAAAATTAAACTACTGCAAAGTACCAGTCCTATACTTCACTATTTAAATAAAAAAAAAGATAAATCTAGTTGGTAGCTTATTAAGTATTACGGCTAGGTGGCAATAGCCGCCGCCTGATCTAAAGTACAGCCACAGAACACCTACCGTACAGCCACATCAATCCATTTATCCATCCATCCCGCAACAAATTCATGCCATGAACGGTAGAAATGGCTCGTTGGCCGCCTCGACGCTTCACGGAATCGACACCGTAGCGCTGACGGCTGGGCCGATCTAGAGTTACTGTATATGATACCTTTAGGTATACCTAAAGGTAGCATTTACAGTAACTCTGGGCAAACTATTCTTACACCGTGCTCTGGGCCGATCGCTGCGTCACCGTCTCCTTGTTGTCTTTTTGTCGTCGTTCTGTTCTCGCGCTATATTTAGCGTCATGTCTCGCGTGTTCAATCCTGTTGTGTGCGCGCGTCCTTCAAGGCTGCGTTCGTCGTTCTTTCAAATGATATGCCAGCAGGTTACCACCATAAATCTTTTGAAACATATGCAAACATGGTATCAAAAAAAAAAAAGAATTATGCAGATTTGTGGAAGCAAGAAACATATACAACATACGTACTGCGGGGGCACAGTGTTCTGATGCCTGTTTGATCCCATCCGCGGTAATCGCTATTTGACGAGAGCTAAACGTTAGGTGAAAACTTGCCCGAAATGACTAATGTACGGCACATGACTTGAGATAAGTACCCCCCCCCCCCCCCCTTGCGCCATTTTTTTTTTTCACATTTTCAGTATGCATTCTTAAACCCAAAGCATTTACAAAACCTTTGCCAACAATGTTCTAGTAATCTTATATGTCATTTTCTGCAGTTAGTGCTAAAAGCTCCGAATTTGAACTAATCAAGCAAAAAGAAAAGACGCAGTAAAGAACGTTTTTGAGCTTATCGTTTCGGTTTCCACGCCGGCACCGCCGACGGAAAGTGGCCATGCGCCGCTGCCGATGGTTTTACCCGGCGTGCGCCGACGACGCCGCCACCGACGACTCAAAACTAGCCCCACGCCGCCGGTGGTCGAAACCGCCTCGGCGCACACCTCTACCTATCAAGTGGGCGGGCGTTGCTGACAAGTTTGGCGGCCGATGGATGTTTTCTGGGTGCTTTGTGGTGCAGCCATGCTTTCGTGTTGCGCTGCTCTGGCAGCCTGAAAATTTGCAGTGTTTTGTGCTCGATATGGTCGAGGAGGGCCGGCACATCACCGCCAGTTCTGAATTCATTCACCGCATTAATGCGAAAAATTGCAAACTAGTTGCCTGCTTTGTGGTCGTCGGTTTCGTTGTCTACCACGGCGTCATTCACTTAACGTACGGTGCGTGGTCGTGCTGGCGCGCTCACGTGCGCTTGAGTTCAGCTCCGTTTTCATTTCAGGAATCGACACGTGCAAGTGGCTGCTGAGTGATGGGCGATTTCAAGGCTATCATGTGTGGCAACCGTACGGCTGTATGCTGCACACCTACACCAATGCGTAAGACTCTCGAGTGTTCAAGTGATAGTGCAGAGAATGTCTGCAGCCGCGCGTGTGTGTGTTTCAGGGAGTCTCGCATGTGCCTGCGCTACATCGCCTACTGGGGGGGCAAGAACCACATTGTGTTCGCTGGGGACTCCCGCATCCGTCAACTGTACGGGGCTTTCGTGCAGCAGGTGCAGCCGTCGCCCTCGCCAGCACCCCAGCAGGGCCACCGAGATTTGCTCTACGAGGAGAAGGACCTGCACCTCACAGTGGTACTCCTCTTTCGCACATTTGCGTAGCCCAGTTCGCAGCATGAAAGAGAGAACGCGTTGTTGTGTGTCAATTGACTTCTTGCATTGAAGTTATCAAACATTGTGCCCGAAGTGCATGCCGATTTGTTTCCTTTTGTTGTATTCGTACATCAAACGATCGTCGGATATGTTTGCAGCAAAGTGATCCTTTACAGCAATACACAGAGCAATGAAGCTAAGTGAGCTCGGGAACTCTGTACAAATGTGCACACTGTGTTTCTTATGAGACACACAGTGCATGACACGTCTTCATGGTTGCTGTATGTAAGGTAACGCGCGTGCGTGTGGCCTGCACTCTGCAGCGACTGCCTACAGCTTGCTCAGCTGACAGCCAAAGAAAGCACCTTGGTATTTGGCGTCATCTGTTGGCAAACAAAATAAGCCATGCTGTTGCCTGCTGCTAGATAACACTCCCACTGCAGTTGATGGTGCTGTAGGCCGCTGGTGCAAAGTGTAGGTTACACGCTCTCGTGTTAGTAATAATTGCTGGGGTTTAACGTCCCAAAACCACCATATGATTGATAGACGCCGTAGTAGAGGGCTCCAGATATTTTGAACTCTTGGGTTTCTTTAACGTGCAGTTAAATCTAAGCACATGGGCCTCACACATTTTCGCCTTCATCGAAAATGCGGCCGCTGCAGCCGGAATTCGATCCCGCGACCTGCAGGCCAGCAGCTGAGTGCCTTAGCCACTAGACCACCACGGCAGGTTCGCGCTTGCCTGTTCCCTTTGATAAAGGACGACAGTGTAGTTTTACACAGCACAGATGCTGAGGACAATGTAAACTATTTACATCCCAGTAGATGGGTAGTGCGGGGATTGCCTGACAGACGTCTCACCCACTTGTGTGAATTGTTGGTAACCACCTATACTTAGCTTAGTGTGCTCCAAGTCTAATGGTAGTGTCGTACAATGCATTGCAAACATGCATGTAAATTTAGAACAAGTCCAACTTGTTGTAACAGAAAAAATTCTTTCAGTTATTGTAGTATGTAGTTGATAAAAGGTACCATGCAGCTTCACCTAGTAGCTGTCATAGTTCGAGCCTTCTTTTGAAAAAGTTTCATATCTATAGTGCTTTGCGACTCTTTAAAAGACTTGAAAATAATGGCAGTGAAAAAGGAATGGAATTAATGGCATATTTAAAAAGATGCACCAGAGCAGCTGGGCATGTGCTGCATGGCTGCCACTATTCAAGGCAGTGTTTCGCAGCCATCAATTTTTGAGGAAGGGTGCAATAGATGAGGGACCCCTTGCAGTGAGTCAAATAAAGCCAACACAGCGTGAAGTGCGTCACTTTTATTTAAATGGCTCTCTGTGGGTCTCTTTGGGTTCTGCAGAACCCTATTTGAGAACCATTGATCTGAGGCGGCCGGACAACGAGTAGCATGAGATCGAGTGCATGTTTGGTTAAACAGAGGCGCTTCTCACCATTGCTACACATGGAAACAGTTTGCATGCTGCCAGGTAGCACCACTGCTGTCATCATCATCAGCCTCACTACACCCACTGCAGGGTGATGTAGTCGGGTGTCTGGAGCCCATAGGACCGAAGCCAGCCAAGTCTCGGGGAGAAGTCGAGCAGAGTAGCCGGAGCTGATGATGGGAGTGTTTATTTACAGTATTTAAATACTGAGGGTGGCGGGATACTACATGATGGTAGTAGCATCAGGGAAGCTCTCAATGGAAGCTTCTGGGTGCTGGAACAAACGGCCACAATCGTCTCCCGCATATAAGTAGTGCCGAGCGAGGGAGGCCGATCATAACAGCCCGTCCACTGCCACAGGAGGTTTCGAAGAGAATGCTGTACTAAGGTACTCCGCAGAGACTTTGCAGATTGTGTGCTGTGCCATAATGTTTGGCTTGCAAATTCTCTCTAGTAGCCTAGGCTACCAATCAGCAGCGTCTTCTGAGCATGCTGAATAAGTGTTACAGGACCCTTTTAATGATGTATATGATTCTTTAAATCAAATGGGTGTTTTGGTTAATACTAAGGTGAAATAAATCTAGCAGTTTAAAATTCGCATCAGACAATGTATATTATACTAATTTGAACATCACTGGTATTGGGAGATGAACAGTTGTACCTAGCGTGGAAGCTGTTAGAAATGCAAAACAGCTTGCCCTTTAGTGGCATTCATGGGCAAGGGCATTCCAAATGTGCAGCTTGTATGGCAACTCTCACTTCCCTTGCTTTAGACACAATGAGATTGCACTCTGAGAAGTGTAGTGTCTCTCTCAATAATGGAGGAGAAAACGAAGGTCACTTTCAAGTGTGACCCTTTTCCAAGAGTCTTTTTTGTACTTTGGCAACATTGTTAGAGAAGAGACTTGGGCAAGTTGGTGTGTAGTTAGCCCGAAAAAGCCAAAGGACAAGCTGAAGACCACAGACTGGATGGAGCGTTAAACTACTACTGAGCATTTATTCACAGAATAAACATAAATTCACATGCTGTGCAACACGCAAGATAGCACAAAAAATACCCCCATAAACATTATACTTCACATACCTGTACAGTTGAACCAAATGTTTTAGTGTGACGATTTCTTTCGAGGTATGTGCATTCTTTACTGCTTAGAACCATCGGCGGAGCACTACTTTTCTTATGCAAAGCTCTGAAAATTTTCTTGCCCACACAACTGCCTATGCACACGTGTGCAGTGAAACTGGGCTGTACACCTTCGGCAGTGGTCGGTAAGATGACCACCCACAGCTTCAATGAAATTTCTTGAAACTTGGTATGCTAAGTCTATGGCTCCTTCAGGCAACAATGTACTTCATTATTACTGACTATGAACTGTGTACGACCTATACTTCGTTTCACATATCAGCTGCAACGCTTTGAGGGCACTTCTTACAGCAAATGCGTTCACATTAAGAAATAGTACAACATTCTTACTTTCATTTTTATGGTAAGTAGTAATTGAAGGTGTTCCGTGCCTTATGAAGAAACAAATGCCATTATGAGTAAGATATTACGTTGCTGAAACACTTGGTGTTTATTAAGTGTGAATACACTTTATAAGCAACCCCAAACCATCCACCGCCGTCGGCGGCGTCCGCAGTCTTCTCTCTATCTTTAAAAGAAAGAGGACTTGGCGGGCCGCAGTGCGACGCTCTACCGAATAAGCCACGGACGCGACGCTGATATCGGTGTCAGTAACGCGCCTTATACCCCCTCCCCCTTCGCTCGCTCCTCCGCTCTCCTCGCTCGCTGCAGCTGCGCGCGCACCCCTCTCTCTCGCGCACCCGCCTTCTCTCTCAGTTTCCCGTCGAGAGCGGGTCGTGAGGGGGAGTAAAGTTAAAATCCGTTGGCATTTGCCAGTGAGTTAACGTAAACTCCCCCGTGTGATCAAATTGCGATTCCCAGGAACCATTACACCATAAAGGCACCATAGTGTGATTAATAAATATAATAGTGCGAATTAATAAATACCCCTCATAGCATCACCCCGTGTATTCACACTTAACCATGTTCACCCTCGGGGAAATGCTTGGGAGTTTTTGTTTGCTTTCGACTTCACTTGAAGCCTGTCGTGAGGTGTGTCTCGCAGATTCTTGCTCGGTTCGTGTGAGCATTATGACAACGAAAACTGATTACGAGACGCGTGAAGTTATAAAATAAATTTTAGGGGCACTAACAGGCAAGGACAACAAAATGCGCATGATGCACATGTGCTAACTTTCAACATTCCATCGAAGCTGGGGGACCAAGGGCGCACGTGACTTTACATGACCCCTGTGCAGGAGGCATGAAATAAGACATGATCAATGACGTCGCAGGTAACATGATTCTGTGAAAGGTAGAGCGATTGATGTCCTGGCAACACATTTATGTCCTAAACTATCTTTTTTGCCTCTATTATTTCCCTGTGAACTTACTTTTGCTTCTTGTTAAATGGTGCATTTATTAAAAACACGGGTAACTACTTCTTTTCCACACAGTGGTCTACATTGCGGTCAGTACTGGAAACACCATGACTGTCACAACCATCACACTTTCTGCAGTGAACTTACCCTCCGCATTTCTCTGTAACATTTTGACAATGTTTCTCGAGGTGAATGTTTTAGACACACCTCTCGCTGTGTCCTACGTAGGTTTTGCTACATGAAATAGGCAAACTGTACATTCGATGCATGCACATTCGATGAGCTTCTCTTCTTGCAACCTAGATTGTGAGGGGAACAGGGGATTTGTCATTTGGCACAATTTCTCAAGTTTCTTAGGAGCAGAAAAAAACCACTTGTATATTGGCCTTCTCCCTATCATTTTAAACAACGTTATGAATATACAGAATGACAGCAAACTTCTGCAGGTGATTAGCACCCTGCAACACATCAGCCTGTTTTGACCAACTCTTTTGCAGCATGCCTTCAGCGACACTCGCTAGTTACTCAGTGGGGTAATCGGAATCAGATAGCCAGCGGGTTTGTTCACGAAAACTGACGTCTATTAGTTCCGAACATCATTTATTTCACGCTTTATAAAAGACTTGACGATGCCCCTCTTAACTAGTTTTAAATGAGTCGAGTCATAAGTAAACATTGGTTTGTTAGCATTAGGCTCGTAATTTCCAGTACACCTGTTTATCACTAAGTAAAAGTATGATATTAAGAAATGTTATATTCTCATTTGATGGCATTTCATGAGTTATTTCTAGTGGCAATAGTCAACGGTTCTCTTGTATATTATGTGCCCTTGGCTTCCATCAAGAGTTGAAAGTCGGTGCTTGTGTACATTACGTGTTTTTTTTTGCCCTGGTCTGTTTGTGTGCTTAGAATTAGAAACGGAGTACAGTAGATGTCAAAGGTAATGATGTCATGCTGTTTGGTTGCAGGAACCTGGTATTGGCACCCAGATTTCCTTTAACATGTCTTCTCGTTTACCATGTGTGTAGTAGGTGTCGAGATTTTGGTATTGTGAAAAAGTAATTTACTAGTATCAGAAAAATCGTTTATC